ACAACAGGAGACTCCAGAGACATGACATGGAAGAGAGGTGACAGCAGAATGGAATCCAAAGATGTGATTCCTGACAGCTCTTGATCAAAATCAGGCAAATTCTTTTATATATAAATAGCAAGTATTTTATACATATTATATATATATTATATATTATATATTTATAATACATATAATATATATTATATATATCATATATTTATAATATATAATTTAGATATATATTATATGTATTATATATATAATAGCAAGGTTTTTATATATATAAATAGCAAGTATTTTTCTTTTCAAGAGAGGTAAAACCCTTCCTTCCAGCCCTGCTGTTTTTCCAAATGAAAGGAACAGCCTGTTTATCTGCAGGCACCAAATCAAGGATGGATTTTGGAAGCCTCATCACCCTGAACATGAGGATGGTGAGTGGATTATTGGGGGTGAGTAATGGGGAAGAGAATGAGTTTGAAAGCAAACAGAACTTGCACATGGAAAGATGGCAAGACTGAGTGAGACTGCTGGAGCTGGTGGAGGGATGATGTGGGAGGAGTCCTGGGTGGGTGAATAATGCAACAAAAAGCCACCATGTTCTCAGAGGAACATCAGCATTAAAAATGGACTCCTGAACTTGTAGGTAATAAAAATACCTTTCACTACTTAAAAAATAAGTGTGAATCTCATCCATCTCTAAGATTACAACAACAAAACCCTCTCCTGAAGTGATTTATGCTTGGCTCCACAGCCCTGAGGATGGGATTTGCTGTGTGCAGGGCTCTGCAATCCATGTGCTGCTTGAGCCTGAGCACTGGAGACCAGGGCTGATTTTCAAGCATTGAAATCCACCAGGGAGGGCAGGGCTGCACTTGATGGTTCCTTGCCCTGAAATTCTGTACCTGATGGTTCCTTGCCCTGGAATTCTGTACCTGATGGCTTCCTTGCCCTGGAGTTCTGTACCTGATGGTTCCTTGCCCTGGAATTCTGTACCTGATGGTTCCTTGCTCTTGAATTCTGTACCTGATCGTTCCTTGCCCTGAAATTCTGTACCTGATGGCTTCCTTGCCCTGGAATTCTGTACCTGATGGCTTCCTTGCCCTGGAATTCTGTACCTGATGGTTCCTTGCCCTGAAATTCTGTACCTGATGGCTTCCTTGCCCTGGAATNCAAGACAGCTGGAAAGTCTCCACTGGAAGCAGCAACCAGCAGAGAAGGTTTTACAGCCCTGTGTGGACAGCAATTCCACGTGGGCTCTTTCACATGTTATCCAAGGAAATTTTGGTGCATCCTGGAAGAGCCACCCAGGTTCTCAGGCCTGGTACATCCTGGAACACCCACCCAGGTTCTCAGGCCTGGTGCATCCTGGAGCACCCACCCAAGCTCTCAGGCCTGGTGCATCCTGGAACACCCACCCAGGCTCTCAGGCCTGGTGCATCCTGGAACACCCACCCAGGTTCTCAGGCCTGGTGCATGCTGGAGCACCCACCCAGGCTCTCAGGCCTGGTGTATCCTGGAACACCCACCCAGGTTCTCAGGCCTGGTGTATCCTGGAGCACCCACCCAGGCTCTCAGGCCTGGTGTATCCTGGAACACCCACCCAGGTTCTCAGGCCTGGTACATCCTGGAACACCCACCCAGGCTCTCTGGCCTGGTGTATCCTGGAACACCCACCCAGGTTCTCAGGCCTGGTGCATCCTGGAATAGCCACCCAGGTTCTCAGGCCTGGTGTATCCTGGAACACCCACCCAGGCTCTCTGGCCTGGTGCATCCTGGAATAGCCACCCAGGTTCTCAGGCCTGGTGCATGCTGGAGCACCCACCCAGGTTCTGAGGCCTGGCTGTGGAGCAGGGCAGCCCCAGGCTGCACTCACCATCAGAGGGAGGGCACAGGCCACACAGGATGTTCATCAGCGTCGTCTTCCCGGTGCCGCTGTGGCCCAGCAGTGCCGTGATCTGCCCCTCGTAGATGTCAAAGGACAAATCTGCTCCAGGGCACAGCAAAAAGAGGGGTCAGGGTGGGGTCCTGGCCCCCTGAGCCAGCTCCTGCCCCAGGTTCAATCCCAATGCTCACATCCACCCTCTGCCTGGGGGACAGGGCCGGCCTGGCATGGTCCCACAGCCACTGTGGGGCGGCCACGTCTCAAAGGCACCCAGGGAAAGAAGGTGACAACATCAGGGAGCTGGGCAGGGCACATGACATCCCTACAGGGGCATTGGGTGATGCCAGCAGGCTTTCCTCAGGGATGAAGTGCTCATTTTTATTTTAGACACCACTGTGTGAGAGAGCACAAACACAAGCATACCTGGCATTCGTGCTCCAGGGCCCCACCCCTCCAAAAGAAACCAAAACCAGGCTGAACTGAAACACTGAAACCCAAGAGATCACCCAGCAACTCAGCTACTGCTCCTCTGCATCCCACCAGCAGCTAGAAAGCTGAAATGTTCTTACTTCTGAGAGCCTCCACCGTCTCCCCCTTCTTCCTGAATGTTTTCTGAACACAGCTGATTCTGAAAGAGACATCATGGCATGAACTATTTCAGCACCTTTCATGGCATTTTCAGTCATCAACACTCAGCAACAATCACAACAAGCCAACCAGACTGAAATGGCACCAGATGTGTTAAAAACCCTTGGAGGCAAGTCAAGAGACAGGGCAGGTTCTCCCAAAACTTTGTCCATCTCCACCCTGGCATCAGAAAACTTCGCCTGGTCACTCTCTACGGTATTTCCTGTGATGATAAACTGAATTATTTCAAATCTGAGTGTCTTTTACATGGTGGAACAATGCTCTAGAGGCTTCCCAAGCTGGAAAAGGGAACAGCTACTCCCCAGCAGCTGCACCACACAACAGGAGACTCCAGAGACATGACATGGAAGAGAGGTGACAGCAGAATGGAATCCAAAGATGTGATTCCTGACAGCTCTTGATCAAAATCAGG